CGGGGCTTCGTTCTCAGGGTTCGACGCTCAGTTCAGAGTGTTGAGTTTAACGTGCCGCCGTCTTTACCAGGACGTAGGAAAGGTGTGTCCGCCCATCTTTAACAAGATTGCGATCTAGTATCGCCGCGCTAAGCCAATTTTCTCCCGGCGTTGCGCAACGTTTAGATAATTTATCGCGACACCGCGTCGCGCGCGAAAGCTCGCGAATTTCCCGGATGTCTCAAGTTCTACAGTATTCATTAACGATTTTGCGACGTTCCTCCGTACGAGTAGGTCAAAATAACTCGAGAGCGGATGGAACAGTGAGTTAACCGGCCCGGGAATAACTAACTGGTAATTACGACGATCTATCATTACAGCTGCGCCACGTAACATCGGGAAATGCAATAATCTTGCAGACAATATTTATACACATAATTGTATCTACTCCAAGTGTCCTGGGTATAACCGAATAATTCATACTTTAGGAGCTGCGCTATTATTAATTCGCTATTAACGCACATCCGTCGAGACCTCAGTGACGCTTCTCTCGCAACGGGGTCAAAAATCTCGGTCAAAAGGCAACGCGCCCTGTAGTTAGCGGGGATTTCATCTCATTATCACGTGCCCGTAATAATTAATCCTCCATCTCGCGTTGCGAGCGAGAGTGAAATAGATATGTGACGTTACGCCTCACCACATAATGAAACGCAGATGTCGAGTGTGTGCGAGTAATTCAACGAAGTTTCTGTGTCGGATATGAAAAGAATTTTGTCCGAATGGAAGTTCTATTACTGTACGAAAATTTAAAAAAAAAATCTATACAATATTAAGCGAAAAAAAACAATTTTACTTTTATTATGACAAATAAAAGTGAAATTATTCTCGTCTTCCGAGCTCATTCTGAAATCTCTTCGTGTTTCTTGCTGCAGAAGATAATATGTACCTCATACTGAATTTTCAATTTGACATTATTTTCGACACTACATGTAATATTATTATAAAATATTTCCTAAAATGTATTAATGCTTAAATATTAGATATTAAGTATAATATAATAATAACACTGTGTGGGAGCTTCGTTACATCATATTTTTTAATAATAATTAATTTATATACTATTATATGATGTATGTTTGAATACATACATATATAATATAAGCTATAAATATGCTAGAGATCCTCTTCTAGCAAGTCTAGTCACGATGCAAACATAGCAACAACATTTGACTCTTTATAGAGTATATATGTATAGTAAATCATATAAGGTTGATCCTATATACTCTGTAATCTATAGCTATTTCCGTCATATTTATCTCATGAAAAGACTACTACGTGATCAGAATTTTACTTGAGAATCTCTAAGCAAAACTATTAGTGACTTAAACGGAAAGGTACTGAAAATCGTTCAAAAAACGAGTTAATTTTCAAGTCGTTCTTTTGCTGCCCTGTATCAGGCTAGACCGTTTACGGTAATCTTTCTCATAATTCTTCAAACATTCCAATCAAAACATTATAATCAACAAGTTATATTAAATCTCCATTAATTTCTTTAAATAATAAAATCGCTTTGATTTATATTAGACTCGCCGTTTATTATTAGATGTAGAAGATAAAATACTCGTGAAAAATAATTTAGATTGCAAAAAAACGAAAATGGCTCTGCGGTCTTACATACATTTTAAAATTATAGCAAGAAAGAGAAGGATTTCGTAACAGCTCGTACAAGAATAGGTCGTATAAAAAAAAACTCTTGCTAATTATACGGTAAGGGCATCGCACGACTTCATTCCGAGCAGACTCGACCATAGCACGACGTCGCGGCGCCTACGTTGACGACCGCATTTGGACTTGGCGTTACGTCACCGTTCGTCATTAATATATTGTGGGCTTTAACCTGGTCTATCGATATATCATTGCACCCGGAGAGTGCCCAGTGTGATATAATCCCGTCGTAAATTTGCCAAACGAGGCAATCCAAAAAAAAAAAAAAGGGGGGGGGATGGCGGTGCGCTCGCGCGCGGATCCTTCTTCCTGTCTCTCGAATATCAAAATTCATGGTGCGCAACGTTGCGCACGGAGCGTCAGATTTGCAACATTCATCGGCGATACGTGTCTCCTCCGAAACGCGGTGCATGCACACTTTTACCGTAATTTACGGCGCAAAGCGTCGCTCCATATGTTCCCGGGGCCGTGAATTACGGGGCTGCGCACCGCGTGGCTCTCTACGTACATACGAATACTCGCACCGGTCCCGGTGTGTGTCGGTGCCGCGGTAATGGAGTCCATATCTTCAAAATTTAACCTGAAAGCTTAGTACTTCGCGGAACAGAAGGGACGCTCGTATAGCGGTTTATCACGCACGCGATAGACTCGCCGCTTCTCGCGTGTCGACTACGTGCGCGTTATCGGTTAAGAGGTTAGAACTATACCGATTTCTCATTCAATCGTCTCGACGGAAACCGCTCTATTTTGCTGTGTAAAGCGTCACATAGAATCCTTTTAACGATACATCACTCGTTAATTTAAATTAAGACAAAGCCAAATGCATTGCAAGACTCACTCTCTCTCTCTCTCTCTCTCTCTCTCTCTCTCTCTCTCTCTCTCTCTCCCCCTTCCTCTACCATGTTAGACTGATATTTCATGTGTTGTGTGATAAACTTTTTAAGCGTTTTAATTGGCTATAGGACAGAAAAAAACCTTTGTCCTGTAACCAATCAATAAGCTTCAAAAGCTTTGTCATACGACAAATTGAAATATCAGCTGGGCAAATATTTCATTTGTCGTACAAATTTTTCAAATGTATTGATTGACCATACAGAAATAGTTCTCAAGTTTCCAGAAATTCTCTGTGTTGTAATCAATCAATACACTTGAAAAATTTATTGTGTGTGACTGATGAAATATTAGCCTTAGAAACAGTCCTCAAGCAGGAACAAGACGCTTTCCATTCAAGCAATACCGCTAAATTTAACATACATATCACGAATATATCCGCCGGTTATCCGACGTAATTAAAACGTAATATTCCATGTTTAATCACGACTACGATCGCATGAAATCCACAATTTCTCGGCGACATGCATATATCAAAAGTCCGCAAAAGCGTGGGTCCTTTTTTTCTCTCTCTCTCTCTCTCTCTCTCTCTCTCTCTCTCTCTCTCTCTCTCTCTCTCTCTCTTTCTCTATATATATATATCCGCATAATAAATCTTCCGGCCGACCGAGTTTCTCGTAATCCAATTAAGATTTTCGCGACTCTGTCCTCATCCTTTCACATCAATTACCGCGGCGATCCTGGCGGACTGAAAATTGCGGGCGCCGCTAAAGTCATCATGGAGCACCGTGCGCGCGAGTTTTCAAACAACAACGCGGAGCCGACAAGGACCGCTTTTTGCTTAAGAGCCTTGGGCTTCTTCTCCAGTCGCAAGCCTCAGCAAGCCTTTGTTAGAAAGGGGTTAAATCGCGCTATATATACACATCGGGGAGGGTAACCGGTGGCGGTGAGTAATCGATCGTTGAAGGACCGAGGAGACTCGTTCTCTTTCATGCGCACGCACGTCGTCGTGCATGTCACGCGCGCGTACAATACGCGGTAACGGCGCCACGTACACTCCACGTACAACCCACGTGTGCAAAACGCGGAAATAACAGAAATACTCGCATCGGAAAAAGGGAACTGTGTGTTGAAGCGGAATCTGGGATGTTGCCGTCAAATAAACGTATTTTTTTATTGGAACAAGGACGTTAGGCAATTTTGGGAAATGTTTTGTTTCCACATCCCCTCGTGGACAATGCGATTTTCATTGTTATAAATCTTTGCACTCTGCCTAAAAATATTTATTATTGTATTAGTATAGTTCTCGTGTGTGTTTGTTAGATTAAAATTAGATCTCAGTTTTTTTTTCTGTTTAAAGTATTATCTCTTTACAGTACATATATTTATGTGTGTGACGTTACACAGTAAAAAAATCGTGCGTCCATATGTAGAATTTTTCTTGTGTTACCACATTTTGATTATTACTTCAATGTAAAATTAACATACAACCGATATGTTATTATTTTTGTAACATTTTGATGTGTTAGATTTATGTCACCTTTCTAACTTAACAATTGCGTATGTCAATTAAAAATGGAA